ATATTTCGAAATTGTGTGGGTCTTTTGAAATGAAACTTGACACAAAATTTTCTTTTATCTGGGTGGACATTTTACCCACTATAACGATCGATTACGCGCGGGGCCCGAAATCACCTCCTTAACCCGCTATACTCTTTATATCTGTAACTGTGTTTTATATATACGCGCGTGCGCGCGTATGTGTGTGTGTGTGTAAATTTTGTATATTACGTCAGTGTGCAAATAATCAATAGCCTACAAAAATTTGTAAATCAGTCCTTTCACTTCTCTTCTGTCACTTCTGCACGTGGAATATAAATATTTTCCGTGCGTTGATCACATTTGGCCGCAATACGTGATACTGTTAAAAGGAAGTCTGATAATCGATTCAAATACGTTTGTGCTTCCTTATCTAGAGCACCGTCTCGTACTAGCGTCGTGATACTTCGCTCAGCACGTCTGCATACCGTTCGTGCGACGTGCAGGGAAGCACAAGCCTTTCCGCCACCCTAGTTTTAAAACATTAAATAGAGTTAAAATTAATGGAACTTGAAATATACCTGGTCTGTCCCAAAAGTAATGAGATCCTACTTAGAAAAATATAGTGTATTTTCAATAAAATTTCCCAGAATTAGTCTCCTTACTTTCAAGACAGACTCTGTATGTACATAAGTATTATAATATCTAATATATAATTACTGGAATGATATAATCCTCAGGAGGAGGAAGCTGATTCGCATATTCGAGAATCCACTCCTCCAAATCCTTGGTGTGTTTGCTCTCGAAAGACCGGGTCTTTCCAGGTACGGACTTCGATATGGCATGGCTCAGGTCAAACAGGATCATTTGCACTCTCTTGAGCTTGTCGACATACGGATGTTCGACCTTCCCGTCGCAGGCAAACTCCCTCGCCAGTCCTATGTAGGATGACAGCTCGTCAGTCGCCCCGAGAGCATTGAAGATCATGTCGTCCTTCGGTTTCGTATCTCCGGCATCCGTGATCGTCAATCCGGAGTCGCCGTCTCGCGAGAACACCGCCACCTCGGCCACGTTCGACGTTGTAGTACCGCTACAACATGTCATCGTCAGTAAATCAATTATGTGTTACCTCAATGTAATATTTTCCCTGTATAACACATAGCGCACCAAAGCTGTTTGATTATAACGTAATGTAATATTTCTACCGCGATGCACTTTGAGGTTATGAAGGAGATTAAATGCGTACTTGTGTCTCAAGGATATACACTGCATCCCGCTCTTGTACATGACAGCGGATTTCCTCCACAGACCTCTGATCAATTCCATCTCGCGTGTCGCTCGCGACTTAATCGGATACAAATAATGTAACTTCACGCGTGCAGGCCTCGTTGATTGCTAGTGATACCGATCAACACCAATGCGATATCAACAGCTACGAAAAGAACGTTCATAAATATAGCGTTCCAGATATAATGGCACAGATCACACGCATGTGTGCCGTGAAATTTTACAGAGAGCGGATAACAGCGCGGAAAATCAGAAAATAGAGTATTATTACGCGAGGGAAGATCGCGACATTTCTGACTTCACTTCTTTAATATGGCGTGATATGGCTCCTGTTCTCACTTCTCCACCGAGATACAATTTCCGATTTCACGATTTTCGTGCATTCTTTAGAATTCTCGACGGCGGTGCCGAATGTCATTATTGAAGGCATGTCATTCGCTGTATATATCAGGAGGATGTATATATCACGGGCTCAAAAGACGCGAAATGTAAATGATATAAATTTCGCGCGCGTCTACTTACGCATACTAGGGTGCGTTCTTTTTGGACGCTCACGCGCTGCAAGTGCTTATAACTCAGTGAGATATATAACATACTGGAGTCCTGTGAGCCTTGGGGTGGTGGGGATGGCCGAACTGTGCAACAGTAGTGCGAGAATGACAGCCATGCAGCTTGAGGATATCTGCCTCACTTTAACTGACATTATTAAAGTGAGGCAGCACGATTATTTTGATATCGATTATTTTTATTTAATAAAATCGATTATCGTATGATGTTTTCTCAATTTGATTATTCCCTAAACGATAGTTTTTTTCTTCAATGTTACTATTATTACTAGACTTTTTTGACTCTAGTCTTCTTGTGTCGTCAATGGCTGTGTTCCAAAATTCAC